ATATGATGACACTATATTCCGGGATATCATCCGTTCGCTCGTTGAACTCCGACTGGAATCCTGCAAATCCTGCATCCGACTGGAATCCCGCAGACGTTTCGCCAAAATCTCACTTGGCATCTTCAATGCTCGCGCTCCGAAAACACTTCGAACATATATATATATATATATATATATATATATATATATATATATATATATATATATATATATATATATATATATATATATATATATATATATATATATATATATATATATATATATATATATATATATATATATATATATATATATATATATGTATATATATATGTGACAGGTAGGGACCTGAGTCGCGGTTAGGATTGTTATGTTGTTTATAGATTTCTATAGACTCTCGGATTTTTCATTGATATGTCCGGTTTCATGAGTGTGTCCGGCAACAGCTGATGAGTTTATTGGTCTTGGTCGTAAGGCTCTTTCGTGTTCTTTGGGTCTAGTTGATATTTTTCGTCCGGTCTCTCTATCTCATTTAGGGCAACAATTGCACTAGGTAGATGCAGAAGGATGGGTGGAAAGAACTGGGGCTTAAACCCAAAAATGACACTTTGGTTGTATCTAGCAGTAGTGAGACAATGCTAGCGTATGGGGCGATTATCTGGTGGACAAGAACCATGCAGGGGGAGGCGATAAGGCGGCTGAGTAGCGTGCAAAGACTAGAGAGTCTGTGCACTACGAGGGGCATGAGCACAACGCCCACTGCAGCGTTGGAGGTCCTACTGAACATCCCACCAATACAGATCTATATACAAGTCCCCAATCCACCGGGCCACCAATCAAGACAGAAATATCCTGGTATGATGATGGCTCAAAAACTCAAGAAGGAGTAGGAGCCAGAATATATGAACCCACGACGAAAAGGAAAATCTCTATTCCAATGGGTAAGCTAGCAACGGTGTTCCAAGCAGAGATCACTGCACTAGAACACTGTGCAAGAGAAATAAAAGCGAGGAAAATCCGTAACAAATCAATTGCAACTTACACCGATAGTCAAGCGGCTACAAAGGCCCTGCAATCTAATAAAATAACATCGAAGTTAGTTCTGGACTGTCATAAGGCATTAAACGAGATAGCAAGCCAGAACAAAGTTGCTCTATCATGGGTACCGGGGCACGGAGGGCATACAGGTAATGAAGGGTCGTCAATGCGCCTGATTGGACCAGAACCCTTTTGTGGGGTGGCCAAACCCGTTGCAAAAACAGCCATCGGGGATTGGATGGACCGAAAATCCCGACGATGGTGGATGAAAGAATTCCTAATTGGTCCATCGGCCAATTTTACAGCGGACCTACTAAGCTACAATAGAAAAGCCGTAAGAATAATGGTAGGTCTGCTGACAAGCCACTGCAGGCATCTAAGCCTAATGGAAGTGGAAGAAAACCCAGAATGTAGATTCTGTCAGGAAGAGGAGGAAACAGCCGCACACGTACTGTGCCAGTACGAAGGCCTAGCGAGAGTGCGTTTCCATCTGCTGGGCGATACCAAACCAGAGGCAGAGAGCTATACGAGGGAGCCATTATCGAAGTTGTGGAGTCTGGTTAGAGAGACGAACCTGGATAAAGCTCTATAGCTATGGAGAGAGTCACAATAGATCCTCTGGGTCGCAATGACGGACAGGCTGATTGCTAGCTCTCCCAACTATTAATCTAATCTAATCTAATCTCTATCACATTTGATAAAGATATGGTGTTGTCGAAACAATCGTCATGTCATAATATATAATTTCGTGAAAATCTGAACTTTTAGTTCTTATTTATTTTGGCCCCTATATGCGACGGAGTGAATTTATCTACACAAAACTAGTGATATAAGCTATAGACACAGTTTCAGCACTCAACTAATTTAAGTAATTCCTCGAAAACTGCTTAAGACAGGAAGATCAACAATATACAGGGTGCTTCCAGCGTGAATCATCGTGTATATACACGGTATTTGGTCATTTTATTGGTAATAAAAGCATATCGACATTTTAAAAAAGTTATTATTTGGTTCATATTAAAAAATATGGGGTATTTATAATTTTTTAAATAAAAAAATTATGGGAGAACCTTACTCCAGTTTACGAAAATAAATTTTATAAAAATAAAACATGGTAAAAAGATAATAAAAATGAAGTCCTACCTAAGATCCCATAAAGACCGACTTAAAATTCCGTGAATGTCAAAATCCCGATAAAATATGCGCCGTATAACGCCGCCGTAATTTACGTTTTCACGTCGGTTATTAATGACTTAATCATGATGTTTCGTTATTTACGACCAAAACATTAATTTAATTGTTTCGGTGAAATGCAACAATTTATTTCGTTTGTTAAACATGCAATATTTCGATGTAGAATATATTAATTTTGACTCCGCGTTTAATATTGCGGCCATTTTGTGGATTTTATGTTTGAACAAAGCAATGAAAGGTAATAATTTGGTTTGGTTAATTGTGATTCAAAGGCGGTAGAAATTCTCCACAACACCAAGAAGGAGGAATCATCAAAGCTGGTGTCTATTTTCAACAACAAAAATAGTCCTTTAGATACGCGGTTGATGGCACTATGCGGAAGTTTCTGAAGAAGAAAATAATATCCTAACTGAATGTTTATAATGTGTTTAGAACAAGAGATTCTGCTGCTTTGAAAAATGGAAAAAAAGCAATGGGTCTTTGCATTTTGAAGCAAGATCTTTTTACAAAAGTGGATCGCATCGCATCGCAGTGGTAGATTGTTTTTTTTGTCCTCCTTAAATTTATTGGAATGAGCGTGTGGGATTTTTTTGATAAACGATTTTTTTTTTATTGATGAAAATAAATTACATTTTCTAAAGAAAACAAAGGACTAACATTCTTTAAATGAATGCTGACACTAGCACCTTTTCGCGACTTCTTGCCAGAGAGACTCATGGAACTGTTTCGACCGGTCTGGATCGGCATCGGATCAAAGCATTCCAGGGGCCGGTGGCCTACGATGGACCCGCGAAGCCGGGTCACGCGCCTACTATGCTGCGTTGTAATACCGAACAATGAGTGTTTATTTAATTTGTTTAATTTAACGTATTCAAGGTTCTCTGGACAAAAACAAAAATCCAAAAAAAATGCGATTAAAAATTGCACATTCTAAATTCTGCATGACCTGCCTTAAATTGGGATTGAGTTCAATGTAAGTTTTAACATATTTAGTGTTTTTTAGTACCGGCTGTAACTGACTATTTAATAGATATTCCTAAACCAGTCAATTTCATTGATTTATTCATTTGGTGAAATTAGAAAGCCCCATTTCACATGTCGAGTTAATCTTTTTTTATTATGGCATTATTCTCTGTGCCAGAAACAACGGCCTACAATGAGCTAGAGAATGAGCTACGCACAAAACTAGAATGAAGTTAGAAGCACACTTACAGCCGGTCTAGAATTGGTAGCTAATTCTTGTCTTATGTCAGTATCTAGTTAATGTACGATCTGACAAGAATGTAATTTGCCTTTTAGATATAGGGTCTTCAATATATATACAACAAATAGCTTGAACCATGTGGTGCGCTATGTTTGAGAATTATCAGTTCTGACGCATTTGTGTCTGAATTCTTGATAATTATGCTTTTTGGAGCTGCATATTATTAAAAAACAAAAGCAGTTCGTTAGATACAGGCCAATGGTTTTTTGATGGCGCTCGGCGGAAGCTTCTAGAGAAGAAAATGATGTCCTAACTAAATGTTAAAATGGGTTGAGAACAAAGCATTCTACAGATACAAGATTGGAGTCCTCTTTGTAGCATATTTATGGTGCTTTGAACAATAGAAAAAAAACAATGGGTTTTTACATTTTGATGCAAGATCTTTTTATAAAAGTGGATTTCACTTGTTCATCTTACCTTACTTTTATGGTCGATTGCTTTTATTGCCGCCACAAATTTATTCAAAAATTCAAAAAAATTGTGATTAAAAATTGCAAATTCTAAATTCTGTATGTCATACCTAAATTGGATTAAAAGCAAATTATAACATAAATTAGAAAGTATCATTTCTGTTTTCGATTAAATTCAATTTTTTTCTGGCGGATTGTTTAGGTACTATTTTCGTTACTCAAAAAAAATCTTTCGTACTACTCGGGTTGGCCCAAAAGCTTTATTATTTTAAATAGAATCCCTGTATATTATAGCGTTTTTAGATTCTACCATCGATTTAACAGTGAATTTTAATATGGTTTATGCTGACTAAACCTTAAGATTTTTGAAATAATTTTCATTTTGTGAAAATGTAATATAATTTTAATTCTTCGAATTCTGAAGAAGAAGAAGAAGAAGAAAGGTGTGCAGTGCCCCAAACTTAAAATCTCATACAGGGAATCGAAAATTTAACTCAATTTAATAAGAATTCCAATTGAATATGAATTTGGCGATATCATATGATGTGAACGATATAAAGAACGGAAAATTTACAAGGGCTTCGTTATTTTTTCTGAATGAAGTTGGAAGATGTTCAAGAAACAGTAACGAAATGAAATAGCACACTTACACCTCGAATTGCTAGCTATATTTTAAAAGCATTTAAAGGGCGTTAATGTGTATTTAGTTAATGAGTGATCCGACAAGAATGTAAGTTACCTTTTTGCAAAACTTCAGTTTCAGTCAAGCTCTGAAGAAAGCAACAGGATGATTGGCGAAACGTTAGCTAGTTCGACTCGACAAATACCGACGCAGGAGGAATCCAGAAGTTTCTTTGAAAAATTAAGAAATCTTTTAGGAGTAGATCTCTAATATATATACAAAAAATAGCTCAGTGACTAATATTGAGCAATGTGGTGCGCCATAATTGATAATACTCATTTCTGACATATAGTCATTCTAAGAAACGCATCGGTATCTGAAGTACTAGTAACTGATAATTATACTTTGCGAAATACCTCAGATAAGACGTTTCTTGCAATTTCAGAACTAGCGAATCAATTGAAATAAATAATACGCGTAGAACATATAATCAAAAATTGTAAAAATAATCTACGGAAAAAACAATTTTGCTATTGTAATATATTTTCTCCCAAGCGGATGTCCTGAGAAAAAAAATCCATCCGTATGGTTATTATAGAACAATTTAAGAGGAGGCAAATAAAATTGTTAAGGGCTAACACGTATAAATTAAGTAGAAATCTGATTTTTTTTCATTCGCATTGGTACCGTACGTGCACCATGAACTTCACAAGGTTTTTCCTGGTAAGTCGGTAGGTGCTATGTGCAGGTATTTTTTGATTCTCTTTAATGAATTTGTTTTTATAGATATATCTGTATTATTTGTAAAAATTATAACAACTAATACAAATTTATTTTGGCTTACATGATCGTCAGAATTGATAAAATATCTCCGAAAACATCCGATTGCTCTCAAATTCGGGCGGTAAAATCCCAGAAATGTCCGAAGTGGCTCGGATTCGTGGAAAACGAAACTGACGTGGTGAAGTGACGCTTCCGCGTGCTATATCGGTGCTTAATTTGGTATTTTACAGACGGGAGTAGAAAAAGTTAATTTTCTTATTATTTATAGGTTAAAATCATACTTTAGTGAGTTATTTTCAATCGTTGACTTATTGTTGGTTTGATTTATGAATTCTATGTTAACATTTTCCAAGTTTTTCATCACTGGTCCATTAATTAAACAATAACTAATTTCTCTCATTGCTGAATGGATGGACGTATAGACTAAACATTATAGGTTCACATTTATTTTTAACTAGATTTGATTTCACTTCTTCGAACCTTTGTTTTCTGGAAGGTTTCAATTCAATTCATTAAAGCTTCTACAACTGCGAATATATTTATTTTATGATACGACACCCTGTATATTAACGAAAGTCTGCGTTGATATTTTAAAAATAAATAAATACAGGATAATGAAAAATTTTTTTCAAAAATGTAATTGAAAAAGTCACTTTTTCATATGGGAACGAGGAGTTATTAATATGTAATATGTAATTACTTATTCGCACATCCGATTTATTACTTACCATTGTTCAACAACTAAATGAAATTTTTTTCCGAGATTCTTTTTTATTTTGCAGGCATTGCATTTATTGTCCCATGTACTAGTACTAACATAGTTGCTATAATTAATTAATAATCTAGTTGAGTGTGCTCAAAGTACCTTTACATTTCTTATTATTTAATTTTGGAAAACTCAATAACATATAATTTATAATTTGGAAATCAGTTAACGACAACAAGCCTTTAAAACGGAACATTGATTGCCCATTACTCTTACTACAAAAAATTAGAACACAAGTTTCAATAACCAAGGAACCTGAAGCAATAGCAACTAACCAACTTAACTTTCAGATTTTCGCATTGGCTGTGCTGGCCATCTTGGGCAACGCGTCTGCCCAAAGAGGTCGCGTTCTAAACCCAGGAATGGGAATGGGACTAATATCGGAGAAGGAATCTGGGGAAACTGGCGCCCAGGATAAAACCGATGGCAAAGCCTGATATGGCCGGAAATGGACCGATTGTTATTGTTAATCCAGCAAATTTTGTGTTTGCTTTTTAGAAAAATAAACAGTTATGCATTTAGGTCTTGATTATGTACTTACCTTCAACATAACCGCATATATCTTGTGCTGTTACTCGAAAGATATGATTACAAACGTATACGAAATTCCTTTTTCATTGAAAAGAAGAACTTGAAAATACATTCTAACATCAATTTTTGATTGAATTGAGGCCAAAATTTCTTCTTCTTCTTTTACTGCGTCTCATACAAATTTTAGACCTTCAAGATAGAGGATCGTATCTGAATTTCTCTCTCATTTTATACCACATGATTTCGATTACATTCAAGTCGGAACTGTTGTAAAGTTAATCCCTAACCTCAATAGCATGATTTTTCAGCACCATGATGCATCTTGCTGAAAAATAAATCTCAGGCTGTTTCTTGATATTTGTCTGCTTTAACAGTTGTACAGCACCAAATCATTTCCCCAGAAGCAAGCTTTACAGTACGGTTCAAGTGTAAAAAAAAACACATTTTTCCACATACCTGTCTTCTTTGCGTCTTAAGCGGACAACCCAGTACACGTGAACCTGTCAAAGCTAATATTTTGAGGTTTAGGAAAATCACGTGTTTGTTTAAACAATAAGTCAGCGCCCAGGCCAACTGGGTTCTTATTTTGAAATGCGACTAAAATCAATATTTATGACAAAATAAATAAGAACTAAAAGTTCATATTCTCACGAAATTATAAATATTGACATGACAATTGTTTCGACAACAAACGTCAAACGTCATTTGTCGTTGCCATCAAGTAAAGCCACCTCAGATCAATTAGTGATTAATTATAGTAAATATTTTCAATATTCCGAAAACATGGTTTTGATCAAAATTACTTAGACAAGAGCTCGTAGGTTCTAGCTTCTTCGGCATGGTGTCTGAAGAACTGATGTAATAGCATCCCTGACAATAAGGAAATTGCTTGTATGTAAACTCGAAAGAAATACATCAGAGAAGTATATGAATCTCTCGTTGGGAAGCGTTCCAATGGAGATATAGTATCTTCTTTCCGAATGAAAGGTGAAATTTAGAACACTAATAATTAACTTAGAAGATATATGAAGTCACGTGACATTTTGTCTAAAAGGCTTTGTCTAGTTCAATATTTACAGACTCGTTTTTTATATTTTTGCAGCTGCTGCTGCCTGTAAATCTTCATCCCACCAAAGCTTAGCTGTAGACACAACGTTTCCAGTTGTAGCAAAACAACGAAATATTCAGCAGAATGTGCTTCCATGATGCCAACCTCCGAATTACTGCTTTGAAAGCAGTAATTCGCGGTTACTAGTTCTTCTTAAAGTGCCTACCATCCCGTCACGGTGGTAATATCTTAATTTACAGACATTTCAAACAACTCAAAAGCAATAAACTGCTATATCTAATTCTTTTGTGTACAAAAAATAGACTGGAATACAAAGGTTATCGTTAAATAATGTGTCCGAACAAAGATTAAATTCATACTCCCATCTCATATACGATTCGATTCAGTAATATATTATGACCCAATTTTCAATCTTGTTCGTTAGAAACCGATTTTGAGCCACATCCTCCAGGATCAGGGTTTCAATTTGCCGCCGGTTTTGCACAGGGGAACTTCTAATTAAATTTCCTTGTCCTGCGTTTTAAAGGATAATAATTCTTTGTCGAATTGTCTCAGATTTAAGCAGGAATCAATTTCCCGTCGAAGCTTTAGGAACGGTTAATTAAATCGGGGATAACTTGGATGGAAATCTACGCTTGGGGCCTTCACCTTTTCGTCAAGGATATGCTGAAGATCCAAGAATGGTATAAAATATGCAATTATATATACCATATATAAAATTAAAAAATCTGCCACTTTATGTATGTAAAAAAATTATGAATGCATCTTGAAAAAATATTTTATTAAATCGACATTGCTTGTAAAATCTCCTAATCAAAGCGTTGTCAATTTTGGACATTTTTTTAGTAATAGCAAATATTGTACGAAGGTTTTTTCAGTGTAGAAATAAAACCCTGCATTTTTCTGAATGGTGTGCAAATTCTAGAGTAATTATAACCAAATCGTTATTCAGCGTGGCGCTTAAAACTGGAAAACCACTAGAAAAAATAGGTATTTTATATCCCAACACCCCTCTAAATATCTGCAATTTTTTTTGTCCTTGTTTATTTTTCAAACCAATTGTATTTTTATCACAATATGAAAATAATAAACAAACAAAAATTCAGATTTTTATTATTGACGTATTATCTGCCAAAGGGTTTAAAACTTCCTCCTCTGGGATTAAAATTCAATGAAAGTAAGCACAATTCCTAAAATTAAGATTATTTTGTTATTTTCAATTAAAATAAAGGAAATGGGTTATTATTCACTAAAGTTGTATTTTTTTTTATCGGGCTTGTTACGAGCAAAATCAAACAAGTATTTCTTGACATTAAGCAGTGCTGTGGTCCTATTGATCAGATTGGGAGGCAGGCAAAACATTCGAATCAGCAACATGATTATTAAGTCGATCATAGATAGGTAGATAGATAGAAAGATTTTTTATTTGACTGAATTACAATACATAGTATGTTACCATAAGTTTCATGAATAAAATTTCTATATTAAAAAAAGACAAATTTCCGACATATAGAATTTGCTTAATGGCTTAATAGAAATCGTATATAAACCCTAACAATTTTGCTTTAAAATTTAAATTGTCCCCATGGTAAATTCTATATAATCAACCTTCTCCCTCTTAAAAAAAAATTTTTTTCAATTTTTTTTAAGGGTGGGGGGGAGGGTCAAAACTCCCACTAAAATATCTAAAAATCCAAAAAATTTAAATTTTCAAATTTACTTTTAAATTGAATTTTCTATTTTTTTCTTTACTCATTAATTATCACCCTCCTAATTACATTACTATTTTTTACATGAATTTGAAAACTTTCCAACCTAAACCTTAAGATTTCCCTTCGAATTAAAAAAAAATTGCAATATTAATTTTCTATTTAACATACGATTAGATAAAGTCTACAATAATAATAGGTATAATAACGTAATACATAAGAAATAAAAACAAACAGGAATAAAAATGAAAAAGAAAAGAAAAAAAAACGAAAGATAGCGTACACAACCAAACAGTCGCCACCATCAAGAATCGGCTCCTCGGGTATATCTTTTATCTTCTGTTTGTATTCCTCTACAGAGTAAAAACAATGATTAAAAAAGATTTTATTTTGGTTTTAAAACTTTTAAATAGCACGTTTGTGACTCGATTTGGAATTAAATTTTATAAACTTAGGTCAAGAGAATTTTTCACGCTTATGATTATTATTTATGAATTTCTAATGCCGCGTGATATAATTCTGATCGCTCTTTTTTGCATACAGTATAACAGCATATGATAAAATTAAATGAAAAGGAGCATAGTAGTTCGAGACCAGATAATCCTTTCCGATTAAATTTGACAATCATCCGTCGTAAGGAAAAGTCGACACTTGAGCGGTATTTACTAAATAAGCAATATGGTCCTTCCAGGAGAACCTATCACCCAGGACCACACCCAATAACCTCGCAGATCTTCCTTCCGAAATATTTATATTTATTGACAAGACTACCGATTGAGTTTTATCCTCACTTAATTTTAAACGATTCGCTCTGAACCATTGGCATCTTTTTGGGCCTTTTGTGTTTCTCCTTTAAGCATATTGTTGAGGTTGCAACATCCGGGTAATTCAAAGTCCAAAAGGTTTTCGCAAGCACTTTAATGACGTGACCTTTTGTACAACACACGCTTAACGTAAAGCAGGAACGAGATTTCACTCTACGAATACAAAAATTAATAAATCCTTTCACAACAACATCGAAGGAAAAATCAACGAAAACGATCAATTGCCAGCAAGCGGGAGACGCTTCCTTTTCTTTCTTTTTGCTCATAACCTCAACCGTGTAACACAGGTTGCCAGCGTGCCTGGCGTCTAACATTTGAATTTATTTATTTGTTCGGTTTTCCCGAACACATATCTACATTTGTGGTTGATATTTTAAATGTAGAGTCCATATGGTTCAAGAGATCATTAATTTAAACTAAAAACGATAATTGTCCCATAATTGAAATTTGTGGAATTCCGTGCCTTACATTTTGTAAACCTGGCATTTTATGATTGCAAAAACTGCTTGCCATCTGTTAGGCAGATAAGAGCATAATACCTCTAGCGTAATGGGTTCCAAACCATAAAATTCCCGTTTATAAGCAAGCTGATAAGGCGAACATGGTGAAGTTATCTTAGGAATAGGTATTATATTTGCCTCCTTCCACAATGAGGGAAGTTTGCTGGTAATAATACATTGAGTAGTAATAAACGTCACCAATGGTGTCAGATGAGGAGTAATTAAAGAAAATATTTTAAGATCGATACCGTCCACACCTTTGGCTTTTGACCCAGTGCGACCTAGACTTGCGCCACCACTTGAAGGAAGTTTGGAGTTCAAACGTTCAGAACGTCGTAATAATTTGGTACCTGCTGCGCGTTTCGCTCCTTCGTTTAATAAAAACTAGGGGCAATTTAAATCCAATAACAAAAGTCCGGGTCCGTAGCATTCCGGTAACATAAAATTCCTTTCTAGTTCCCGACACATCCATTACGGAAACATCAAGCCCGCATTTAGTTCCAGTACGCCACAAAGAAAATAATTCCGAATGTGACATTTTTCTCTTGAGGCTCACTTTCGACTTTGCCGCGACGGACAAAAAAGGCACTCGTAACGGAAAGGGTTGAAGCCGTTTTGTTCTTTCCAACTTGTAAACATTTCTTTGACAAGTTTCCCCGGAGCGGTCTTTTGACGATACGAGCAAAATTAAATTGGATACCGGCGGACAAAGAGATACTCGGACGGCCATTGTTTAGTTTTAAATTAAAAGTTTTAGAGCGAATATGATGTCTTATGAACTAAATTCGAATTCGTTGATGCCTCTTCTTCTTCATGACGGTTCGCTATCATCATCGCTATTTTATCTCTGGAAGCTTTGGAAGCTTCTGCTTTCGGCAGATCTTCTTC